GAGAGAGAGAGAGAGTGGGGCATCTGTTTGTGTCGTGTTGTTGATGCGCAATTTAGTATCATGTTGCTTCAGCTGATGCTATTTTCTGGTCCTGATAATATTGATGATAACAATGCTTCTGAAATCTTTATATGATCCTATGACATATTTAAGCTGAACCCATTGATATTTCTGTTTACTTTGCCATTATCACTTTTTAAGTTAGATGATATATTGTTGACCTAATATACAGGTTGGTGTGGTGCTGGGGCCGATCATTATGAGCCATTGATTGCTCATTCTGCTCCTATTCTTTCACAGGAGAAGGGAGCTTTTGTACTCTGAGGCTTTCATTATCTTTATCCACTGTATTGTATTTTAGAGTTTCAAGGCTGCTTTGTGTTCCAGTGTCTTTTTTTTTCTCTTTTATGCCATGTAGTATTAGGGTTCAAGGCAGGTTTTTGGCAGGTTTTGTACTCCGAGGCTTTTTTTTTCTTTTTAATTCTTTTAACCATTGTGTTGTTGTTTTAGGATTTTGGAGGCTTTTGAGTTGATTCTTTTTAATCAATGGGGCTTGCATTGAGAACCCCATGTTGTTTGTAACGATGTTATTTTTTGTAGTAGTAATGATAACATTCAGATCGAGTGTCATCCAGCTCTGCAATTTTTTGAAGGTAAGTTTATCAAAACACACTTGAGGTATCAGCTGTATAACATTTTACACATTTTGAACTATTCCAACGCATGATCACATTTATTTTATGGACTTATTGAAATTAAGTTAAATGCTACAAGTAAGATGTTAAATAGTGTCATCCAGTTCTGCAATTTTTTGAAGGTAAGTTATCAAAACAACGCTTGAGATATCAGCTGTTTAACATTTTACCCATTTTCAACTATTCCAACGCATGATAAATTTTAAACAGCTCGTCTCTGGAGTAACTTTTGATAAATTTCTTTTTCTGAATATCTTCTGGTTGAATCCTTAACAATCAGCTAGTTTTATTTACTGTGACACTCTCTCTCTCTCTCTCTCTCTCTCTCTCTCGTCGTTCGTT